CCGCTTGCCGTTGAATTAATCTTCGAAGGCTGATTGCTGAGCTCAGTGTGAACTGCTTGGGCAGCATCTCTGTGGCTGAAACCACGGAGCCTCTCCTCCGCAGGGGAAGCAGCGGCCCTGTGAAGCCCTGGCAGTGAGAACGTGGCCACTTTCTTTATTCCTTTTGCTACTCTAGAACAGTTGGCATTTCTTCTCACTTACAGTCTTTATTTTATTCTGTAAAAAAAAAAAACTACAGCTGAGAGACTTCACTGTTGCCCCATTTATAAAGTAATACACTACGATTTTGTAGAATACTTGAAAGAAATCACATAGTTTATTAACTGAAGCAACTATTAAGGGAAATGTCCACATACTAACCTATAAATATGTTATCAATGGTTTCTTTATCTTGTCACATAGGAACCTTTTTTTGGACAGGTTTTTGCTATAGGGTGCGTGTGCTTGCCAGAAAGACAGAGAGAGACAGAGAGATAGAAAGTGAGAAATCACCCCCCCAGGGGGGATGGCCATGGTGCAATCCCTTCTCCTCCATTCTCCTCTCAGATCTTGGGCAAACACTCACATGCACCAGGCGTGAGTTTAAGCTGGGACTCGAACTGCAGTCGACTACATGAGAGTCCAGCGACATAGTCATGACACCATCTTCTGGTCCTGAAATCTTAAATATATACTTTCTTAAAAAAAAAGAATGTGTACTCTAACCGTTGCTGATAAATTTGTGAATAATAAAGCGATTGTCTACTGATTAGGAGCAGTCAAGGAAAGTGACATTTTGACAACAAGTACAATGAGAAAAAATGCGGTTCTTAAATATGAATCAGAATTCTTTTTTCCCCCTTTTTACTCAAATATTCTTAAGATTAAAAACTGAAGGTTGACAGAGTCGGTATATGAGTGTGTGTGTGGCTTGATGAACAAACCAACATTTTCTTCATAAAGCAGGAAGGCCAAGATGATTTTTTAAAAATATTTTGACTTGGCTAATTAAGCTCAAGGTTAGGTTTGGGCTGGAAGCATCTACAGTGCTTAAAACATGCATAATCAACCCATCTCAGTTTCCCCAAGTATTGATATCTCAAAAAGCAGATGACTGCCTTCCTGTGGGATTAAGAGCACCGTTTAGTACCAATATTAACCTATACAGTGCCTAATATTTCTCAGCTATAATGCAGGGCTGACTTTATGTCATTTGGAATGGTGGCCAGTGGGAAGTGAGGGCTGCAGGTGGTGAAGTGGTCACGTTGCTGGGCTCCCCACGTGGCCTCCGCAGTGTGAGTCCCAGACCTGGGGGCCTGGGACTCACACTGGGCACGCGTGTGTGTGTGTGGGTGTGTGTGCGTTTGTGCCCAAGATCCTGGGGAGTGGAGAAGAGGGGTTGTGATGTGGCCATTCTCCCAGGGGGTAATGGCTCACTGTCTCTCTCTTTCCAGCGCGCTTATGAGCCCTATAGCAAAAATCTCTCTTAAAAAAAAAAAGCCTAGGAGACCAGCCAATGGCGTGGTGGTTAAGGCACTGGACACTCCCACATGGCTGAGTCCCAGACCTGGTAGCCTGCTTTCTCACTTTCCCTCTCTTTCTCTCTGTGTCTCTTCTTTGGTCAAATTAAAATAAATGAGTAAGTAAAACTAAATAATTATTAAAGAAAAATAACTCTAAAAAACGATTTACCTTTAGGAATACAGGATTCTTTTAAAAGTTTGTAAAAATTAGAATTACAGTCTGAGTTTATTGTGGTGTTAAAAAAAAAACAACTTTGAAATCTAGACACAGATTTTTTTTTAATACATATTTTTCATGGGATAACTTGAAGATCCCTTATACCTAATTATAAGTAATATAATATGGCAAAATTTGAACTTATATTTTGTTGAAGTTAGAGTTAAATGCATTTTATACTTCCAGAAACCTCGATGTTTTGGCCTTTTCAGGAGGAAAATTAAATTCCTTGGCCCTAAATACTCTCTAGGTCCTGATGACATGCACAGTAACCCACCCAGCCTGGGCCTACCTGGGTCTCTGCCGAAGGCCCCCAGCCAGGTCTTTGCAGCCCTGAGCGTCTCTCCAGACGATAACCCCTCTGCCCAGTTGGTGTGCAAAGACCTTGGCGTCATTGGTGACAAGTCCTTCTCTCACTTTATGGCCTCCCTGTCAGTAAATCCTGTGGGTGCTGTTGTCCAAACACTTCCCTAAACTAGCTGCTTCCCTCACACCACCTGGTTTATCACCAGAATCTCCTACCTTTTCTCCTGGGTCCCACCTTTATTTTTTTAAGAGAGATTTTTGCTATAGGGCGTGTGCACTCACCAGACAGACAAAGAGAAACAGAGACAGAAAGCAAGAAATCACCCTCAAGAGGGATGGCCATGCTGCAGTCCCTTTTCTTCCATTCTTTCCTTGGGACCTCAGGCACACACACACACACACACACACGCAACCAGCATGAATTTAAGCCGCCAGGTCCAGGACTCGAACCACAGTTGACTACGTGGGAGTCCGGTGATGTGACTGTTATGCCATCTGCTGGTCCCACCTTTTCATATGCTATGCCTTCATCACACTGCAACCAAGGTCATTCAAATGTCAGCCAGGCTGCGCCACTCTATTCAGAATCCTCCAGTAGCTTTCTAGTTCATCTCAGTAAAATCCCCAACCCCGCATGGCCTTCCAGGCCCTCCGTGACCCAGCCCCGCCACCTCTCTGCTTCACTTCCTCCCACCTTCTCTTTTCTCTGCACCGTTAGCCTGTTCGTGGCCTCGCAGTTCCTCGGGTCGCCTAGGCCTGCCTGTGCCTCAGACCTGCACACTTACACCGCCTGCCTCGTGACTCCCCAGCATCACGGCTCCCTTGGTTTCTGGTCTGTTGTCATCTTCACAGGGAGGCCATCTGCGACCACACCACCAACAGTGAAAGAGCCCACTCACCCCTCTCTGTCGCTGTGTCTCCTCACTCCATTTTCCTCCATAGTGCTACATACTGCCTGCTCTGCACACCGAGTACAAACTAGAACTAAGCTGTACAGTGGCAGTGCCTCACTGCGTTTAGCCTTCGTGCCTCACATGAGCCCTGACATGGAGCAGGTGCTCAATTAACTTCTGTCCAGTGCACAAACATTATGTTTAACCGGCTGATCACTACCGAGGCTTGTGAATTTTTAAAGTTTGTTTATTTACTTTGTTCTAGAAGGCCAGTTATTATGCTTAGCTCTTGGGCATTATTGATATATTGACAAAAATAAAATCTCTTATTTTTAGTGCTTTATACTTGTTAGTTTTGAAAGCATAATACATATTTTATCCCATGTGAGAAGTTTTCAGATCCTGGATGTAAATTCTTGGAGGGTTTTTATTTCTTTTTTCTTTTTCACAATTGCAATGATCTTCCAATTTCCAAATAATATTGAAGTTTAACAACAGGTGTAGTTTATATAGTTAATTAACAGCCAGTTTTGAGTGTCAGCTAATAGTATACATAATTTTTAAAGAAATAGTGGTCAGGGCATTTTAACTTTTTTCTGTTTCAACATTTTAAGCATACTTTTCCCTCCTTGTTTATGAATGCTTTGTAAACGTAGTGTTTGTTCATTATCATAGGATAGGTTCTCACATCTGCTTCAGTGTGTACAGGAGTATTTAAAATCAGATTGTACTGGGGCCAGCAGATGGCATAATGGCTACGTCGCTGGACTCCCATGTAGTTGACTGCGGTTCGAGTCCCGGACCTGATGGCTTAAACTCACCCTGAGAGATCCCGAGAGGAGAATGGGAAAATGGAAGAGAAGGGATTGTGGCATGGCCATCCCCCCTTGGGGGTGATTTCTTGCTTTCTTTCTCTCTGTCTCCCTCTGTCTTTCTGGTGAGCACACACGCCATATAGCAAAAAACCCTCCCCCCCCAAAAAAAAAAATCAAATTGGACCAGTGAAAAAACAATCTGTGCTACTAACAAGCCATTAATTGAAATATATTTTTTCTACTTCATGTCAATGTGGGGCCCTCCCCTTTCGTGCTCTCTTTTTCAGTGTGACATTGCCACCCTAAATCAGCTTCCTGGTTCCTCTTCAGAAAGAAGTCCTCATGTCCTTTCCATTTCTTAGTAGATGCTGCCTGAGCATCTATTAAAGGGTCGCTTTCTGAAACATCTGGTGAACAGACCGCGGGTGACTGTTACCTTAGGGTACAGAGGCGACAAAAGGGGCAGGGCAGGAAAAAGGGCCCTGCCACAGAGGTTTCGAGAGTTTGTGCTGAATGAAACTGTGCTGCTGTGTTCCGAGCTTGGAGCCCAGCTCGTCTGTGGGAGTCTGCGTGGGCCGTTTCCGAGCCAGGTGTTTGTTCCCTGTACTTGTTTTCAATCAGATACAAATTTTCACGTCAGAGGCGCCACGCTCGGCAGGTGCTTTCCACCCGGTTAGGGGAGCCTTTGGTGAGAATGCCTGGAGCTCCCCGTTGCCCGAGCCGGAGGGGAGATAGCGGTGCGCATCGTCCTTCATACTTTAAACCTTCCGAACACGGCCTCACTTGTCAGTTTTTAAACTATGACGAATGTTTCCAATCAACCTGACTGTGCAAATAAAGAGCCCTAGCTGTTTATGGAGACGTTATTAAATAGGTGATGGTGGGTTGCCGTTCTCCAGTCTTAAGAGAAACTCGCTCCGCACAGCTTTTCCCTGCCAGCACCCGAAGTGTCAGCGCCCCGTCCTGGAGATGTGCTGCTTAATGAGGACACGCTCCACTCCATGTGGTTTGTTTTTATTTTCGTTTTGTCAAAAGAAAAAAATGGGTACTAAGGCCATTTCCCAGAAAGGGTTTCCTCTTCAAAGTGCTATTTTAACCATGAATAAAATAATCTGATGGAAACAGACTGGCCCGGACTCCTGGCTGCAGGAGAGCCCTGGCCCTTGTGTGGAAGAAGCTAGCAATTCATGAGTGCATGTCTTGATCACAAAAGAACGCAGGCTCGTTTTGTATATATTGACAAGTTAGAATTTTTTGTTATCAACAGGTTTGGCAAACATCGAAAAGATGACAAGATTGAGAAAACGGGTAAAATAAAAATGCAGGAACCCTTTACGTCAGAAGAGGAGAGAATACGAATGAAGCAGGAGCAGGAGAGGTAGACTTCGGTTCCTCCGTTAACTCCTTAGAGAGGTTCCTTTTCTCTTTCTGCTTCTTTTCCAAGTCTTGTGAAGGTTTTGCATTCAATTTTCATATGTTCTCTGTTGCCCCAAATGCTAATGGCTGCAGGATGAATACAACATAAGGGAAGATTTAACAACAACAAAAAAACTGTTTGAGGCATCAGAGTGGATGTTAATGGCTTTAGTTAAGATCTTTTTTTCTTATTAAAGAATCACTTTATTTAAATTGATTTGCTTGTTTACTTATTTATTTTTAATTTGACCAGAGAAGGGCAGAGTGTGAGAGAGAGAGAGAAAGAGAGAGAAGGAAGGAGAAAGAAAGCTGCCAGATTCGATACTCGAACTGCAGTTGACCCAATGGAAGACCAGCACCCTTAACAACCATACCACCTGCTGGCCCCAGTTTTAGTTAAAATCTTATGCATAGAGGATAATATAGCATATGAAAGGGATAAATAAACTTTAATACCAAGTGATTTTTTAAAAATCACGAATGTACCAGCAGGTGGTATGGTGGTTAAGGGTGTTTAAGGGCACTGGACTCCCACATGACTGACTGTGGTTCAAGTCCCAGACCCGGCAGCTTGCTTTCTCACTTTCCTTCTCTCTTTCTCACTCTCTTTTTCTCTCTCACTCTATTTAAAATAATTCTTAAAAATAAATCACAAAAAGTATTTAAATTCTTACTTACTTTATTTATGAATGCATAGTATATTATAATAATTTTAAACAACTCATCTGGAAATAAAACTATTTCAGTCTTATTTTAATATCTTAATTCATAATAAGCATTCAGGAGGCTTAGTTTTCTCTATGTTGTTTTCTCCCAACCTGACACTTATTAACAGAGTCCCCTCCTGTTTCAATACCATTGCATTTTGTGACATTTTGTACTTAAGTTTGATTCCTTGTCATCCAGAAAGATTGTTCACTATTGTTGAATTATTTCATGTTCACAATCCGAAGACCAGTGAGTGACATGAATGAAAAGAGTTACTTTTAGCAGATACTTGAGAGCCATTTCTATAAGTGATTAGAATTATTCTCATTAACATTCCAGGGGTTGAGAACACCATTTCACCCCTTCGTTATTAGAATTTACGGCTCCCGGTGAGTTTCTCTGTAACGTCTCGGGCAGTCGTCCGGGTGGCCCAGGAACCTCTCCTGAAGAGCCCGGGGTGTGAGGGAATGCCTGGTGCCTCGATCACGTCACACAGCACACCGTTCTCCTGGGAGAGGACAGCCAGGCCCGCAGCCCAGTGTCTTTGCGATCCAGGCCAGTGCCCCTGGCCATGGGACGCAGGTGCTTTCAGTCACATGCTTAACCGTGACGGAAAGACTGAAAATGTATCCTAGGACAGTTTTCCTTAAGAGAGATTAGTGCTTGAGTATTTTTCCATTCGTCATTCTGATACCTCTGGGGGTTTTCCCCCCTCTAGTAGAATGGTTATTCTAATTCACTGTTTGTTACTTTTCAGGATATAAAATACGTAAGTGGGAGAAAATCTGGATTATAAATGTATGCAGCAAGTCTAGGTTTATTCTGCTGGTTCTTCCTCCATTTTATCTTATTTATTTATTCATTCATGCATTCATTCATTCTTTTTTTTTTTTTTTTAATCTTCTGGAGAGTCCTTGCGCTCTCTGGAAAGTAACAGAGAAAGTGAGAAGGCACCCCTTTGGGAACAGCCACACCAAATCCCTTCTCTGTCTCTCCCCCCCATCAGGGTTTTGGCTATGCGTGCACATGCACCTGGTGTGTCTCAAGCCGCCAAGTCCAGGACTCAAGCCACGCAGGTGGACACGTGGGATCCATACACCTTGACTACCACACTCTGGGATGGCCCTGTTTTTATTTATCAAAAAAAACATTATTCTATCTTGCTTTGTAGGACTGTCTTTAATCCTCACCAATTTTGAGGCCCTCAAACTTAACTCACCATTACTAGATCAGGGCATACGATTAATACTCCTTACCATTTTTACAATGTAGAATTTAATTGCTAAGAAGTTTAAGTTTCTATCCTAAAAAAATCTGGGGGGCAGCCAGCAGTTGGCATTGGCAGTTAAGGCTTGGAACTCCCACATGGCCAACTGTGATTTGAGTCCTGGACTCAGTGGCTTGAAAGTCATGATGGGTATGTGTGCATGGGTGCCCAAAACTCCAAGAGGAAATGGAGTAGAAGGGATTGTGGCATGACCATGCCCCTGGGGAGTGATTTCTCACCACCCACTCTCCTCCTGTCTCTCTTTGGCAAGTGCACATGCCCTATGGCAAAACCTGAAAAAAAAAAAAAATTGCTTTGTCCGTCCAGGAAGAGAATATGGGTGATGTATTCAGATTCGTCCTTAGGCAAATAGTTCCCTTTGGTCAAGTGTGATCTGAGCAGCAGAAACTTTATCCTCCTCCCGTATTGTGACACCTGCTGAAGGGGGTGGCTTCAGTAATGCCGTGCCATTGTCCATATTCTAAATGCTCTTACTCTGCAGTTCCAGGTGACTGCAGAATTTCATCAGCATTTTCCAAAATACTTTTCAGAAGGCGTAGTCAGATGTTTTCAGCCAAACAGTGATTCGTACATCATGGTTTCGCTTGTATTATTCATCAGCCTAAGGCACAGTTCGCTTCTCAATTTTGCTTTTAATCTTCATCCCAGTGCCTCCCATGATGCAATACTTCTGGGAACTAGGTTAGTCATAATGAATTTACAATGTACAGGAGGCCTGGAATAAAAACCCTTTAGGGTCAAGAAACAAGTGAATGGTCCATTAAAAAAATCAATTAGGCTCATAATTTAAGAAAATTATTGTGCTTTGTATTTCAAGACCAATTTTTACAAGTATGTTTTATTTAAGCTCATGGATTTTGTCATAGAGTGAGTGAATGCATTAAGTGTGTTGAGCTCTGGAAGTGGAGAGTGTTTGGTTTTCCTGCTTTGGTGGGACGAGCCTCTTTTGCTTGTACTCCTTTCTGTCTGTCTGCCCATGTGGGGTGTGCCTTTGAAGAATGGAAACTGCAACTTCCTTGGGAAAAGCTCGATTGAGTGAATAGATGAAAAGGAACAAACCCTGCCGATATCCTCATCACAGACTCGCCCTCACTGCTGACCAGTGGCAACGTGTGTCCTGTTACGTTACTTAGCACTGTAGCTATTTGAGTTCCAAAATTTATTTTGGCTAATCTCATATAAAAATAGAAAGCCTGACATTCCTCGGTTATGAGTTACAACATGTCCACAAACCAAAATATTATTTTACCTGTACACATCCGTGAAGCTTGAATGTTACTCAGGATATAAATATTGAACATGGAAAATATAATGAGTATAATTCAAAATGTTTTTCATACCATATTAAGATTTATTTACTTATTTATTTTTAGATCTTTGCCACAGAGCTTATGCACTTGTTGGAGAGAGACAGAGAAAGGGAAACTGAGAAATCACTCCCTTGGGGGATGGCCACACTGCAGTCCCTTCTTCTCCATCCTCCTCCTAGGATTTTGGGCATGCACACATACGTGCCTGGCATGATTTTTAAGCCACTGGGTCTGCAACTTAAACCACGGCATTGGCCATGTGGGGTCCAGCGCCTTAACCGCTATGCACCTGCTGACCCATTACCCTCTATTCCGAATGTGAAAGAAAGCTAGATCCTTCTTAGCATGGGTCTAGGATTAAACTGGTTTTGTTCTTGCTACTTTTCTTCCACTTGCTGCCAACACTGGAAGATTGGGGCTCAGTTGTTCCCCAGTGTCCACGTAGGAGATATGCGTGAGGACAGCTGCCACATGGGTATGTCCTCTGACTCCACTTGTCTTGGCCTGCTGCCGACTTGCATCCGTGTGTGCCTGAGATCTTTCTGAGGAGCAGGGAGATGATGCCAAGGGCAATGTTAAGTGGTCCCATGACTTGCTAATTTGATTTCTGAGTTCTGAACCTAAAACCCTAGCCTTTCAGATGTGCTGTCCACTGCCATGGGGATAGACTAGAAGACAAAGCAGAGCTGTGCATTCGCTGTCTCCTGCCTCCTACTGGTTTGTCTTTCAGGCCTGTCTAGGACAACGCTCCATTGGCTCATTTCCACCAATCCTGGGTGAAATGAGCTATGCACTTTCAGGCCCACTTAGCTTCCATTATGAAGCACAGGGATGGCTTTACTGTGAGTGGGCATCAGATGTAACACTTCTGGGGACCAACGGGTGGCATCGTAGTCGACATACTGGACTCCCACATGGCTAACCGCAATTTGAGTCCTGGACCTGGTGGCTTGAAAATCACACTGAGCATGTGTGTGCACGTGCCCAAGTTCCCGGGAGCAGGGGGCGGGGGAGAATGGAGAAGGAATTACACTGGGCATGTGTGTGCACGTGCCCAAGTTCCCAGGGGGGAGAATGGAGAAGGAATTACATCTGTGACCATCCCCTCTGGGTGGTGATTTCTCAATCTCTCTCTGTCTCTCTCTCTCTCTCTCCCCTCTCTAGAGAGCACACATGCCCTATGGCAAAATCCTTAAAAAAAAAAAAAAAGAAGAACCTTCTGTTGTGTTTTTCCTCAGAGACAATCCCACTACGTGTAGTCCATGAACAATATGGTAGAGGGTTTCTTAACCTTCAGCAGTGGCAGGAGCGTTCATCTACAAGTATATTTGAGAAATACTTGGTTAATGATATTCCTGCATTTTTTAAAGAATTATTTTATTTATTATTTTTATTATTTTAGTTTGACTAGACAGAGAAGGAAAGTAAGAACGCAAGTCACCAGATCTAGGACTTGAACCACAGTTAGCCATGTGGGAGTCCAGGGCCCCAACCACCATGCTATCTGCTGGCCCCAATGTCTGCAATTTCTTTTTTAACTGTAGTATTTCCCCAAACTCTCAGTTAATGTACATTTTGAATCACCAACATAGAAGTAGAGAATTACCTTCTAATTTATTTATTCAGAAAACATCTCCTACTCCCTCACTTTTTGTT